TACTTTATTATTATTGACCATAATAGTATCAATTTTTGATTTAATATTTGGTCTTTATAGGATCAAAAAGATGCCTCGGAATGGACATTCACAGATAAAAATAATATAGAAATTGATGTTGTCAAAACAATTTGTCATGGTATTACTGAGAAAATGATAATGAATCTAGAATATAATAATCTCTTATTATTATATGTGATTGATTTTTCAAATCTATTCAAAGAAATTAAAGATGCATTTGACGAGCAAGCACTAATTACAATGACGGCTCTACCAATAAAATTCCATCGAGACATGGATCCTACTTCAGACAAATATTTTGAATACTTGTACGAAAACCAACAAGTGTGTGAATAATTATTTCCAAAAGTTAATGATGCAAGTTCTTTATTTATGGAACAATATTTTCTTTGGAAAGCATACTGCAAACTGTTAAGTAAATAAATAAATAAAACAAATATTATATGTTTCATTTTGCATTCTAATTTCTATAATGAGTAAATTTCTTACAGATTTGAGATGTGGAGAAGCAATAATTTTAATAAAGATTTCACTACTACATTTAATGAAGGTATCTGGGAGCATTTTGTATTACACTCACTATTTGATATTTTGACGTTAAGTTTAGATAAATGTATGTTACGCTGGTATATAAAAAATATGCAATTATTGCAATTATTTAAATAATCTAACTTATTATATTGTTCTGTATTTTTTTTGTGTTCGAACTAATTTAGGGGAGAAAGTACATCAAGTGCATCAAAATATCGGAAGACTGAAAATATAAAATTTGAGAAAGAAACCTGTGAATAGTTAGATCGAATAATAGCACCATTTCTTACATCTTCACAAGCAAAGAAGGCAGATACCTGGATTGAAATGATGATTGCAAAAAATCTCCATGAAATTGTATTTGCTAAAACATCAGGGTCACCTTTCAGACTACCTGCACTACTAAAAAAGTGTATAATGATAAATGTAAACTAATATGCTTTGGACATGATTCAAAAAATAAAATGTTTGATGAACTTATTGAAAAGAAATGCATATATTTGTCTGATTGGAAGAAACTCTGTGATGATATTCGTAAAGCTGAATTGTTGTTGTTCCAAGCTTATGGTAAGTTGAGTTTTATATGTTCTAGTATCAAATCCTGTTCCTATTAGTTTAATTCCATGATGTTATTAAACATGTTTATTTTAGAAGCGAAGCTCAAAGTTCTCATCTTAAATTGTCCAGCACACCCTTTTTGTTACGTGAGAGAAGTATTTGATTTAGATATTTCGTATAAGAAAGTGGTGATAGAAGAATTTAAATCATTTATTTGGGCTTTATGGGCAATCAGATGTGCATTATCTGATATTATTTATGACTATGAAAAAATAGGAAAAAAACTGTTAAAAGATTATAATAAGATTGCGGGTTCAGGACCGTATAAAGTTGATTGTAGAGTACGAGGCTATCAATCACACCCTTTTCCGAAATGAAAAGCATTTTTAGCTATCGTAGAGGTATGGAATATATAATTCTTATTGTTTTAAAAGCTTCTTAATCAACAAAAATTTACAT